AAACTCAGACTCCAAGTTTTCGCTTTTCAAAAATCAAGTTTTCGTTCTTTTATCAACTTGTTCCAGTCGACTAACAATTGAGTATCGATACTCAAGTATCGACCATCGACATTCAAAATCGAAATCTCAAATCAAGTTCGATTCCCAAATCATCTCCTTCAAACATCGACTTCCAAACTAACGAACATAGACTCCAAGGCGAGATTGATTCTCAAACCATGTCCTTGTTACCAACATCAATCAATATAGACCATACTTCGAACATTGATTTTTACCAGTCGATTATGACTTCAAAAACAATTGTTTGTTTTTCATTCAACCCAAAACGAATCCACATTAATACCAATAACCATCGACATTTAAATCTCAATTCCAATCACTTCGCTTTTCAAACATGAACACCTACTGCAACCCAGCCAAACTCAATTTTGACTTTTTATAAAGCTTTGACTTTTCAAATCGTTTGTTAGTAAACACGAAATTAAGAATTCCTTCACCAAATTCCAGATCAAAATGCGTTCAAACAATAGTTCTAAACCTCCTTCAAGTGTTCTTGACCAAGATTAACAAGATCAACAAATCAATTGTTAATTTCTTAGTTTTGACTTGAATAAAGTCGATTTCATCATATACTAATCATATGAAATCGAATCAGAGTTTCAGATCAACAATTAACCTCGATCGAAAGAAAAAAAAATGAGAAGTTGAGATTAAGAAATCAAGATCAATTGGATATGGTTTGATGAACTGAATGTATAAGTAAGACTTGCACGAGAATACCTTTACTGAGGAACAGAAACTTGATAATCAGATTTATACTTTGAATGTAATCAAAGATATCGAAATGATACAAAATAAGTGGGCTCCCAATATTTAACATACGAAATTTCATTGTGGGCTAAAGAATTATATGAACAGTACCAAGAAAAAAAATTGGGCTTACGAATCGGATTTCATTATTAAAGAGTAAAAAATGATTTTGATTATGGTTTGGGCTTGGACTTGATCTGGAAAATAAATAGATTGGATCTACAATTGGGCATGAAACGAAATCGATCCAATCGAGTCAAATCGATCAAAAATTGAAAAACGCAAAATACGAATCAAAATCATGGATGTTTTGGAATCCATTTGAGAATTTGAGATACCTTTTGACGAATTGAGATCCATTTTCAACAAACGAATCGAATTTAGAAGATCTTGGTTCTTTTGTTGGAACAAGAAAATCTCCAATTTGAACATTGTACCACCCACTTTGCTTGATGTACAACTCGTTCTTCGTGTTCTTCAACAATCCAAGAACATCTTCAAAAGAACCACCAACACATTTGGGTTTTGACTTCAAATTCAATGCAACATTTGAAGATTGTTGCTTTGGAACCCAAATTTGCTTCACGGATTTCGGCTTCACAACATTTGAGTAAACCCGCTTGTTTTTGCGATTGATCTTTTTCTTCTTTTTCTTTCTCATCTTTTTGCATCTTGAAGACTTGACTCCATGAACAAACCCACTTTCTACAACTTCTTGAGTTTGAATCAAATCTTTTGGAGTTTGATACTTGTGAATTTCTTGGATCACTGACTTCCGATAAGGAATCATTCCTTCAAACGAATCACAAGAACACAAAATATCATCGGTTTGAACTCCAATCGAGCAAAAAACTTTTTCATCATGAAAATCAACTTGAACTCCTTTTTCTTGAACATCATCATCATCAAGAACACCATCCCGAGCTTCACGATAATCTGCATAATATTCAAGTTTATTGCTTCCATATTTGCATTCAGCACGAGAAATTCCTTTTATGATTTCTCCATCTCTTCTATTTCTTCGTCTCTTTTGATATGTTGTAACCAAACGATCAAACAAATCTTTGGTTTGATAAATTGGACAACTAATTAATTCTCCAACTTCATTTTTTTCTCCATTTACAACGATATCACATTCACTTTTCAATCCAACAGTCAAGCTATAAAGAAGATATTCAAAAGTGCATTCACCTTGAACTTCTTTACTATGTATCATCCATTTCTCCATAATTGCTTCTTTTCTTTCGAATCAAACAATATGAACTTGGGTTTTCTAGAGAGAGAAAGTGAAAATCAAGAAGATCTCTAGAGAGAGAAAGTGAATATGAACCAAATTCTAGTGAGAGAAAGTGGTACAAACAAGTATTCTAGAGAGAGAAAGTCGAATTATGGATCAAATCTAGAAAAAATCGATTTCTAGAACAAAAAAACTTTCTAAACACGAAGATCAATAAGAACATGAAGAATCACCAAATCAAGATAGCCATCAAGGATCAATTCTTGATCCAATCAAGAACACCCGCTTTGATACCAATTGTAGTGACATAAGAACATGGTTTGGCATGCGGAATTAAAGTTTGCACAATGAACATGGTGATTTGGGTGTTCAAGAGATGTATTGATTGTATATGGTGTTACACAAAAAGGATCTAGATCTAAACTACATAAATAACACACACTTACACACTCACTTTTACATCTCTCAAGCACACCTCTACAAGTGGACTAAACCCACCTTATATAGAGGTGTTTACATGTCTCTCTCTCACTCTCTATCTCTCATGTGTCACAAGGCTAATACTCTACATGCAAGTGGGTTTTACAAAAGTCAAACATTACAAAGTCATTCAAGGAAAACTTTGTACCCCAACAATGTGAAATGTTTTGAACTACTTGACTAGTTCTCGTGCTTTAGCCAGATATTTATTGATGTGTTCTTCCTTAGCCTCATACATTCCATTAATTTGGTTGACTACTAACATGGAATCTCCAAACGTGTTTATTTTCGATATGTTTATACTAAGAGCTAATTGTAACCCTCCTATCAGCGCTTCATACTCTACCTCAAATTTTGAACATTCGAAATTAAAGCGCAATGAGTATGTCACTTTTTCCCATGTAGGGATCATTAAAATGATTCCATCTCCCAAACTGTCTCGACTAGAGGCTCCGTCTGTGTATAATATACATAGGCCACTGAACATGGTTTCTTTGGAGGTAGTTCTGTCACTTGGCTCTTTTATAATACGCACATCCATTTTTTCTTCTTGAGGCATCACAGTCAAGAAGTCTACAAGTGCCTGAGCTTTGATGCTTACCCTAGGCTTGTATGAGATATCGTACTCCCCCAGCTCTATTGCCTATTTGGTTATTTGTACGGACCTTTCTGGTTACATCAGGATTTGCCTTATCGGTTGATCAGTCAGTACTGTAATGGGATGAGCTTAAAAATACGTTCGCAATTGTCTCTCCGTTTGGACTAGAGATAGTGTCAATTTCTCTATTAGCGAGTAGTTTAACTTTGTCCCTTGAAGTGTCCAACAACCGAAATAAAGTGGAACTTGATTCTTGTCTCCTTCCACAATAAACATTGCGCTTTTGGCTTATCTGTTTGTTGAGAGATATACAATATACAATTAATGGCTCATTCACTAAATGACTACCTAATGTCGGAAGGGTTTGTAAATGCTTTTTCAGCGTTACAAATGCTTCTTCGGCCTCCTTTTTCCATGTGATATCATTCTTCCCCACATGGTTTTTCATGGACTAAAAGAAAGGTAAGGATTGTTCTTCCAATTTCACCAAAGATATCTCCCCATAGCAACCAACTTGTCATTTAGACTTTGTACCTCCTTTATTGACTTTGGAGATTTCATACTTATCACATCCTGAACCTTATCTTGTTTGGATTCAATTCCGGACGTAGTCACGATATGTCTTAAGAATTTCCCTTTTGGGTCCCAAACACACACTTTTTTGGGTTGAGCTTCATGTTCGTCTCCCGCAGCCGAACCAATGTTTCTTTCACATCCTCGAGGAAATTTTGATCTTCTTTACTCTTAATGACCATGTGATCTACATATACTTCAACATTTCTTCCAATTTGCTTCTCAAAAACTAGATCAACCAACCTCTGATAAGTCGCCCCTACATTTCTTAGTTCGAACGACATCTTTCGATAACAAAAAGTTCCCTTTTCGGTATGGAATGTTGTCTTATTTTTGTCTTCCTTTGCCATCCGGACCTGATGATATCCCTTGTATGCATCCAAAAGATATTTCCACTTGTATCCCCTAATGACTTTATATTTTATTCTTTTTCGGGCAGGGGGAAACTGTCTTTTGGGCAAACCTTGTTTAGGTCCGTGAAATCAATGCACATTCACATTATCCTATCGCTTTTCTTAACCAAAACATGATTTGCAATCCATTTAGGAAACTACGTGGCCTTCACAACTCCAGCCTCTACCAAGTCCTCCACCTATTTTTTACTATTACATTCCTTTCTTTTTCCATTCCCCACTTCTTTTGTTTAATTTGTGCATGTTCAGGGTTGGTATTCAAATGATGCTCAATTATAGATATTGGGATGTCTATCATATCCTCAGGCTTCCATGCAAATACGTATACATATCTTCTTAAAAGGCCTTTCAACCCCATCCTGAGATGGTTCAGCAGTCCCGAGACTACTTGAATTTCCCCTTCAGCATGTTTATGGTTGATCACAATTTTTTCTTCATCCGCAGCTGGACTTGCTTCTTTTTGCTCCCCGACTTGTTGTGTGGCACGACTCCTTTCATGTGGAACTAACGGTATGCTCCTTAACATGACTGTGCCTCCTTCGGTTGGGAACTTCAACAAACCATGTACCGTGGAAGGTACTGCCTGCAACTTCCATAAGTTAGTCCTTCTTAAGAACATATTGTATGGCGAAGGAGCCTTGATTACGAGGAACTCATTTATAATTGTTTTCTTCAAACCATTTTCAAAATATGCCAATGTGAAGGGGAGCAAAATCTTCCCTTTCGGCCACATTGATTGCACCGTGAAGCCTATCTCGCTCGATGTCGCTGGTTTAACAAACTCTTTGACATCTTCCGACAGTCGTGACATGCAATTCTTGTATATGATGTTGACGGAACTTCTGTTATCCACATATATCTTGTGAATCAACGTCTTACCGACTGAACCTTAGATGATGAGAGGTTCGGTCCCTTGATGGTTCGATGGTATTGTGTTACTGTTTGTGAGTTCAATACTAGTCCATTTCCTCTTCTTTATCGACATTCTACTGCATTCTCCTCTGCTCATCATCACTTCTTCATTATAGACCACTTCATATTTCTTTTTTACTGGGATTTCTTTTCGCTTTAATTCTTTTTCCTTATCATTTTCTCTTTTTAGGCTTTCACAGTTGACAGTGGTGTGGCCTAACTTTTTATGAAATCGCAATATTAGGTAGGATCCCGAGGGTATCTTTTTGGTTGTTTCCACCATTTCCTTTTCCCAAATTCCTTTGAGGGTGTACTTCAAACGTCTCTTATTTATATGGGACGAACCTGTCTCCAACTCCTCTTCTTCTTCTATGATCAAACCTTCGCGTTTTTTGTATTCGATAGAATACTCCCGAAAAGGTATTATGAGATCGGAGGACACATTTCTCTGCTCAAGACATCGCTCTTCTATCTATCCCAACCTTTTCTACACATTCATCCTCTTATATAAGGAACATATTTGCCTTCCTTATCATATTTTCAGCATTTTGCCACTCCTTTCCTACTTATCTCATTGAATCGTTTGAAATATGCCTTATTTGATTCTCCTTTCTGCTGCCTACAAGAGAATATGACATGTGCTCGTTATTGGAATCTTCGCTGGTGTATAAATTTGTTGCAAAACTTCATACACAACTCTTCAAGGCTACCAATACTCTTCGTCAGCAAGTTAGCCAGCCAGTATCGTGCCGACCCATCTAACGTTCTCGCAAAGTAGAGACTCCATAGTTAGGATCCATGGGGGTCATCTTGATAGCCCCTTGGAAGTTCGAAACATGATCATTAGGATCTTCAGTGTCGTCATATGGTTTAACTTTGGGTCCCTTAAGCCCCACTGGAGTAGATGTTTCGTTAATATCATCTGTAAATTGGTTTCTAAAATTTAAGCTTTTGAAGGCTCTATTGTATTCTTTAACTTCCATAATGCTTTCTATTACCTTCGTTCTTGTTCCATCCTTTGCTTTTTCCCCGTTTTCACCTTTTCCATGAGTTTGCCAATCCTTTACTGTTCTGCTTTCAGAATCACTAAAGTTGTACGTTCTAACCGACACATACTCCCGATCTTTCTCAACATTTTTCTTTTGTTTTTCCTTTTCTTCCTATCGTATTCTTCCATCTCTTGTATTTCATTCATGAACTCTTCTTTACTTCCTTCATGCACTTATGGGACAGAAGGTCCTCCTACATCTTTATTTCTTACTACCATTGTTATTTGCGACATTCCTGTAAGAGATTTTAGAGTTTACATCCTTGTAATCGGACTGGTGTCGACGATCAGATCGCTACCAGTGACCATTTGTTGTGTGGTCCCATGGATGACGTCACGTGATGAATCTCAGTGTCTTCGGTCTCAATGAAGGTCCCGAACCTAATGGGGTCAAAGAAACCCGAAACTCCGTACCTGAAATATAACACAACCAGTCAGGAGTTCACCGGGAATGGGTCCCGGGAGAACGCTCCGATGGTTAAATTAGTCAATGATCGAGATTTTAGTTCGATTAATTTAGAAAGAGTATTTGTGTTTGTGTACTTTTGCTCTAATTGTTCATGGTCCTTTATACGTCTTACATTAGGAATCATCGCCTTTCCAAGCCGAGCAGGCCCAAGTCTAATTTTCATTAATGCAAGAAAGGTCGAAGGTACCAAAGACTATACTTAGGTTAATTCATTAGTCATGTCTGATAGATCCTAAGTACCGTGATTAACTTTAACGGTAAGCTACAACTTGTTATTGTGTATATCGAGGTGCATTTGTCTTGATCCCATTACTACTTGATGTACCTTGCTTTCGATAGGTTCGACCTCCACTCGTCTTGTACAAGTAATTCGGTACACCATTACTTATGCCCAGGTTCGGTAGTCCGAGAATCCACATTTAGGTTCGGTCGGATGGCCTCTTTGAGGGTTCGGTCAGGGAGATTTATTAACCGATCAGACACATATCTCATTACAGTTTATCAAATAAGTCTTAGTGCGATTAGAATCATCTTATTGGAAACCCCAAAAGCCAAGGAAGTCCATGGGTCCCTTAAAAAGTATTTTGGTTTGTTTATTAAGTAAAACAATTAAACAAAAACATATTTATTAAAAAAATATTTGTGATGCCCAAAATTACAAACCATGATAGCTTCTAACCGAGCCTAAATATGAGATGGCAGATGCACAATCTAAAGGGGTTAGAGGTTGTTCGTTCTTAATTAATCCAAGTAAAAGTCTCATGTTTTCTTCACCTCTTATTCTTGATCAGACATTCGAAAATTATGTTGTAGGTTTGGGAATCATAGAAAACTCCATTGAAATACATTTCATCAAGCAACTTGGTAGGTGTTACCGATTTCCTCATTGTTACAAAGCAAACCAGTCAGAGACTTATACATAATCAAATTTGGAATCAACCCACTCATGTTGATGATTTCTCATAGAGATAAAGCATGATTAGAATCATTTTGGTTATTAAGAAATCAAGAGCATTAGAGAAGAATTGAAACCTGGTAAGAAATTCCTCCCATGCACCTTTTGTCGAGTTGCATCATTGACCTAATAACAACCCATATTGGCTCAAACATTTGTTTCTTCCCCGGGAAGTGCTAATCAAAGGCATCAAGATATGATGGGATTGTTTGGGGGGTTGATTTGGTTCTTGTGACGATGAAAGGATAACCTGATGTGGTTGAATGGTACACGAGTGTAGATGATGGTGATGGATGATACAGAGGTATGTGTTATGTGGGTGAAGATAACGATGATATATGATATTGTTATAGGGTGAAACTAATATGCTTAATTTACGGAATATTAATTGATTTAATTTTTTACCATAATTAATTATAGCTATATTGTGGGAAGAAGGAATAATTATTTACAACTTTAGTATTTTAAGTTTATGTTAGTTCTACCATTATCATCGAAATTAGCTTAGAAGTCTGCAGTCTAGATGCCTCTCCAGGACAACCAATGATTTTGTAATGCTTTTGGTGAAAACAGACATTTGACGTAAAAACCATAGGCTTCTGACATCCTAGGATACTACGTAGGACGCCCCACGTTTTTCATCCATTTTCCGTGTAAAACAAAGAATTTAAAGAGCATGCAAAAATGGTATGCAACATATTATCCAACATACTAGGATGCCACCGTCATGAGTTACCCTACTTTCCATATTTGAGAAGCCCTAAAAATAGGGAAGTTTGCCTCATCATTTATCAACGGTCTCTAGACGTTTTGACTTACTTTTTATAGGCTCCAACGGTTGAAAATCCTTCCCTAAATACTTCCAATCCATATTTTATCAAGATCAAATCCTTAGACTAGAGGGAGTGGAGTGCGGTAAGAGCTTATGTGACATGTTTTACCGTAGTGAACACCGCCCCTCCGATGCGGTTTGGGTTGTGCGGAAAAATGAGGGAGTGCTCCTCTCTCTCTCTCTCTCTCTCTCTCTCTCTCTCTCTCTCTCTCTCCTATTTTCATGGTATACCATTCCTTGTGTGTGGTATTGAAGTCTGGCAAAATAAGGAAGTGTGACACCACTTCCTTCAGCCTTATTCATCAAGATTGAAGAATTTCTTCAGCATTGGAAGCATGTTCATCAATAACTCTATTTCTGAATCTTCGCCAATTATGAGTGGATAATTCATCCCGTGATCGCAACCGGGAGTATGTTCTAAGTTCATTATATATTGCATTGTTATTTCTTTGAATCTTTTTGAAGACTTCAATGATTCATGTATCTCTTTGATATCTTGTGGTACGGCATCCAATCCCGACAAACATAAAGAATTTGTTACGTTATTTTTTTTAGAATGGAAAACAATACATAAAGAAAAAAAACTAGTGACAAGCTAGTGAAACAATGTACATAAACAAGCCTCTACGGGGTTACATTTGAGGTAGCACCACAAAATCTAGTTTATTTTTTTTCCCATTCGATCGACTCATATGCCAAGTTAGTTTCATTAATTAAATCTCTTAAATTCTTACCTTCATCATTTGAGGTTTTTATTTTTCCTCTTTGTTTCATTGTTTGCTTTTTTCATTAGTCTTTCTGCTATTTTTATAAAATAGTTCCCTTTAAATATGATCCTAGTAAGCGACGATCAACCAATATAATTTAGAAATATTTTTTTAACATAGCTGATCACGCCGTTCTTTATATTATTTCATAAATTGGTAATTAGTTAAATTTAAAATAACTCAAAATCCTCTCTAATAAATAAATGTTTTTTTTTTGCTACTTGTCTCGTTTTCATTCAATTTGCCAAATGTTATTTGTGGTTATTTTGAATTTAGTTTTTTTCCACATGTCATTTTATGAGTTTTCTGTTTTATTAAATTCTATATAATATTTTAAGGTAATAATTGCAATAAATATAGCAATAAATTGATATTAATTTCATTAATAAACTTGCTTTTTAATTTGAAAATTCACAAAGTTAAAGCTCATTAGTTTCTTTTCTTTATTTAAATTATTTGTTTAAATTTAAAAGATAAAAAACATTTACATTATAATAATTCATTATTTTTCTTATTTTCTTATAAATTCAAAGTTCTCAAATATTTTGACCTTTATACTTAACTTTTTTTTTTTAAATTAACTCATGTACTACATGAGTTTTATAACTAGTATAAAATATATATGTTAGTATGCTATTCATGCATGTTCAATACTTGAAGAGCCCATATGTCTCCAGATAACTTTGTTATTTTAGTTTATAGTCTGAAAACTCTATATATTCCTCTCTTTCAAAATAAATAAATAAAACTATATATGTTCCTGCTATGACGAATGATGACATGATTTGCACAATATGTTTAAAAAAACCCAAAATCCCCTATGATAATGGGTGTTAGACTCCCACTTGAGGTATATCGATCGTCAAAAGAGTACATCTATTAGTCCATTTTTACATAACACCGTTAAAAGTTCAAGATAGATGAGAACAAAATATCATAAGTTTTTTTAATTCCACAATAGGTGTTAAACTGATTAGGTTATGAATAATAGCATATTAAAATTGATATAATTTAATGTATGCATTAACATTAGTAGATGATGGCCTATAATATTTAAGACTCAAGAACCGATCAGTTGGCGTATATAATGATTCAATTTGTAGCATGAAAACTATTTATGATCTTACTAATTCATACCATGCTTGTTAATTCATACATCCTAAATGATTTAGGATACCAATATTAACGCTTATACTCGAGATAAATGTACCAAGATTGTTTTTTGAGAAGTCATATATTGTTTTTATAAAATCAACAAAACCATAATTTGCCAATTTGGTATTTTATATATTTTGATGCCGATAAACATATAAATATTCTTTAAAAGCGGGTAGGTTCACCGTAGGAAAAGCTGTTCAACTCCGTAACGAGCATTAATGGTATACAACATTTCCAAATGCATGTTCGATCATGATAAGGTATCCTGAGTTCATATATTTTTAATTAAGGAAACTTAATTGAAGCTTGATCGAGAGCTTTAAACCGAAAGACTTACTTTTTCTTGAACAACTGTAATATGAGAAATTAAATATCCTCCTACTTTTATTAAAAATTAAGGAAACTTAATTGAAGCGTGATCGAGAGCTTTAAACCGAAAGACTTACTTTTTCTTGGACAACTGTAATATGAGAAATTAAATATCCTCCTATTTTTATTAAAAATTAACCAAATGCTAGGAAACCAAAACAACTACAAAGATATAGAAATTAACGGGTTATGGAGCCAAATTAACACTCCAAATTAACCGTTTCAATTTCTTTCCGTTGAAAAACGGTAATAATACCGTTGTTGTATACGGTGGAATTGTAAAAAAAAAAAAATTTACTTCTTCAATTTACTTTATATATATATATATATATATATATATATATATATATATATATATATATATATATATATATATATATATATATATATATCATTTTACTCTAACCTCTCTATCGCTATTTATCTATATCTATCTCTATTTCATTCAAAACAAAATACCCACTATGGATCAAAACTCGAATACCCCTCCTCCGAAGACAAACACATCCACTCCATTAGGTTTTGCGGGATACGAGGAATACATGAACCTTCTAAACTCCCAAAACTCACCACAAATTCCATATTCCGGCAATTTTTTCAATACCGCCTCACCCCCAATACAATTCCCTACCTCACCATTTATGCAACAAAATGCAAACATACAACAAAACCTTTTTCACACATTCGGTTCCATGCGCCAAACCGTCACACAACCCACACCCACGCAAGAACCCGTTGTCGAGACGCAAGTTGGCGGTAGTTAGAGAGCATCGGGAAAAAAAGGGAGACCAAAAAAGAAAGGGAAAGAGGTTGTTGTCGGGACGGATGAAACAGAAGCACCTCCAACATGGTGGACACCGGAGGAAGAGCATGCGTTGGCGGTGGCTTGGTGCGGTACTTCAAAACAACCAACCATGATGAAGAGAGTTGCTTTTTGGGATGCCATAATCGTCAAATTCCGCACGATTTTGAACAAGGGTGACACATATCGCAATAATGATATGCTTAGTGGAAAATGGACTCAAATTAGCCGGAAGTGCACCAAATTCAATTCCATATACAACAAAATTTCTTCGCAACGTCAAAGTGGTGCCAATGATTTTGATGTGTTTAGAGCCGCGAGGGAGGAATATCACTTGCAAATGGGGCACGTATTTGAGTATGAAAAAATATGGGAGATAGTGAGGAAAGATCCAAAATGGATGAAAACGCCAACATCATCGAAACAACAATCGAAGAGGTCTCGTGGTTCGGGTTCGGTTGACGTTTCCGACGAACACACGAACATCGACCTCAACGCGGACACCGATGAGATCCCGAACGAGTTTGACGACATCGAGGAAATCTCTCCGCCACGACGACCGGTGGGGCGCGACAAAGCGAAGCGAGCTCAACGACATGCGGAGGAGAATGAAAGTCGGCTTCGAGACAACGAGGACATGAAAAAAAAAATCGACGCGCATACGGAAATCGCAAATAAAAGATATGAATTGCAACGGGAGCATTTGGAATTCCTTCGTCAAGAAGCCGAAGAAGATCGGATATCGAAGGATTTGGCGATTCTTACGACGAACAAAGAAAATTTGCCACCGAGACGAGCGGAGGTGATACGGAGGATGAAAGCAAAGATCGAAAGCAAATACTTTGGCGAAGAATAGTTTGTCGGTGTTTTATTTTTAATTATTAGGACTATCGTGTGTTTTTTTTCAATGTTTTTTTTTTAGTTTGTAATGTTTTTTTTAAGTTTGTATGGTATTTTTAATTTTCTAGTTAATGAAATTATGTTTTATTAATTTATATGTTTTTTTATAAATATATGACATATATTAAAAAAATAAAACGAATTAGAAATATATGAAGTAAATAAAAAAATAAAACAAATTAGAATAATAGAAATTAAAAACATCAAAAAAAAATAAAAAAAGAAATAGAAAATAGTATGTGTTATCTCATGTTATTTGGTGTTGTCCATTTCCACCATTGATGTTATAACACCAAATTGTGACTAGGATGATGAGGTGGACAATTTAGATGTGATAACATGTAATAACATGTTGCCCACACCTAATAGTCTTAACCCTTTTGTTTCTATTCGTATACCACATAAAAGAAAAATCAACTATGCTATGAAAAACATATTAACTTTGTGATACCTTGTCTCCAAAAACCAAGTCGTTATGGTATTTCCACGTCATCCAGATTACTAAACCAAAAAATTTATCCTTGTTTACATTTGGTGTTATATTTAGGTTGGAGTAAGTTCATTCAAAGCTTATACATTTGTAAGCATTTGATTAGTGTGAGTGTCTAGTGATTAAGTTGAGAAATTACAAGTGTACCATTACTAATATGGTCTAAGAAAAAGAGCTTGTTATTTTAATGGGAAATCTCCGATAAAGTTTCAATATTTTGTGTCAGTTTACGGTTTAATTGTAACTTTTGTTGTTTGAACAGAAAAGTCTCAATTATTTTATATTTTACTCAAATTAACGAAATAGTCATTATTTTTTTCTAACAGAAAATGACAGATTATCGTATAAAATTAAAAATCACGATTTTTCTGTTCAAAAAATAAATATTGGGATTAAACCGTAAACTAATCCAAAATATTGAGACTTTATCAGAGATTTCCCTTATTTTAATGGATCTAGTCGAAGAATGAGTTTAGCCTCATGTTGGGATACACAACTATATATCATGGAGTTGGTTTGCAGTATTCTTTTCGTAAAGACTTTAATATTTGTTTCAAGTCATGTATGTTTTACGAAACTATCAGTGTTGGATGATGTTTTAATGACCACCATATCAGTACTTTGTTAACAAGTACTTTGGAGTTAAGAGAGTAGAGTAGTTTTTGGCTACAAAATTACCTTGGCGATTCCATTTATGATAGAATTATCATGTATTCGTTTAATTGGTTTGTTCGTAAAAATAACAAACACTAAAAGTCAATTTAGTTTCTTGGTTACAAAACCTAGTGTTGGTTATCGAAATATAAATGTTTTTCTAGCTTTTTGCTAGTTTTTACTTTTTATAATATGTTCCATAAAAGGTAGTTATTTAATTTCTGGATCAATAACTTCTTTCTTTTAATTTTCATGCATACGATGTTTTACGTTATTTTGTACAAAAACAAAAACTCTAATACATATAACATTCACACTCAGTGTAGATGTTGTGGGATCTTCCATTTGTCCTTGTTACATGACATTGTCAAAAGTTCATGAAAGACAATAATGAAATTCTTTGTAATTTTCTTAATCTTGTTTTGGGAGTTAAGTGGTATGATTAGGTTATAAGTAATAACATATTAAAACTGTAATAAATCAAAACGCACATATTAATGTTTTAATAATGGCCTTGCATGTTCATGCTACGAAAAATCAACCAATCAATCATAATCGATTATCTATTTTGATGGTTTGATAAGGTTGGGATTAAGTGTATAAAAAAATTGGATTAACCAAATCATAAACATTACCATTAGTATAGTGGATTTACACATTTAAGACCTAAAATATCCATCTACCAACCATAACCGAGTAATTGTTTTATAGTTTGAAAACTACCTCTTCAGCGCTCTCGTGTGTTTTGCGCTATCTAGTAAATACATAAACCCTACCTCCTTTAGAGTGTCAATATTAATCATGGTTCTAAAAAGTTTGTCATTGCTCCAAGGCTTGTTCTTGACGTCATGGCTTCAGGGCTTGTACTTGATGTCATGGCTCCAGAAAATATCATATTAAGTCATATATATGCATATAAATATAAATAATAATAGAATATATATATATATATATATATATATATATATATATATATATATATACACACACATAATTGCCGCCTTAAGTGACATCTTAACAAACGTCATGACTTGTCACAACTCATAAAACTTAAGGCTTAACATTGTCACCACGATGCGTCTCATATTATTTAGAACTTTGATATTTACAATGGCAGAGAATATTTTATCATGAAGAATCTCTTGTGCAAGTGACTTGTACCAATTATTGGTCTCATTTGTTTTGATGAGAACTCTGACTTCTTATATTACTAATATTTTTATCTACTTAAATAAATAATGAATACGCCAAATGAAGTGCTAGAAAGCATTTAGGGATAATGCACGAGAGATGTAGGTGTCAATAGGACTTTGTTGGATCAAATGAGAAAACTATAGATCTAAAGTTATACTATGCAATTATCAAATAGGATAATGACACACTCCCCCATAATTAATCGCTTAAAAACTTTATATGATCAATAAATGAAAAATGATTAAACCTGAATTAGAATATCCCAAAAAGAGATTACACTTTTAATACCTTAAAATAAAAAAATCTTTTGTAACGTAACAAAATAGTTGAAACAAAATATCACTACCAAACAATATAATATTAAAACTACAAACAAACAAAGAAACACATAATAAGTTAATTAACACACTATTCACAAAGCATTAACTAAAAATATTTTGTTGTAGATTTTTAACGATTAACTTGTCTAAAATATAAATCAACTTCTTTATAATTAGATTTTTAGATTTATATTTAGTAACAGATTTTTTTTTATTATTTAGTTATAAACTTATAAGTTATATCATGTAACATTTCCTAATATAAAAATTAATTAAAAACACATTGCTTTCATTTCCAATTTATATTTTCTTGTAGTATATGTTCCTTCTCAAAATAGATGCACGGATGGAATCTTGACATGAGGAAATTGGGGTTTGTTTGTGGGTGGAATCGTCCCTCCCCTCTTTACCCAAAACGAACCCTGTCTTCAACTGCAAAATCTTCCATTAAACCACAATTTTTTTGTATGATTCTCAAGTTTAGATTGAAGAACACGAACACAACATAAAACTGAAATTTCATCATCATTTTCATTATCATCATAAACTTCCGATTACATACTTCAACTAGCTTCCCGATGTAAAAAAAAACTAACTTTACATTACTAGTTATACTACTGTAAGTAAACTCAGCAACAAGATTCTTAATTTCCCCGCATGTATTTACTGTTCTCTTCACCTTCATCTGCCATGGGAGAAGCATTTGTAACCCCACTTGAACCAGACGATGATGCAGCAGGTTCCAAATTCAGATCGCCAGTTCTTGGAATACCAGCCAGGAAATCATAGAAAATTGGTCCAGCTTCCTCAACTCTCACATCGTTCTCACCACTTTTTCTTCCATTTTTCTTCAAAAACATCCTGCAAATCACCCAATTCTCCATGCCCTGGACATAATTCGAATTCGAAATGAGGTTAATTATCAGAATTTTCAGAAAACAAAACGTAAATTAAGCCGATTTTTTTCGATCTTACCTGGATAGGATTAGCAAGCTTGTACTCATGCATGACCCAATTGGTCTTAGACCCGTTTGGGGCTTTGCCTCGGTAGAACACCAAAGTTTTCTTCGAACCAACAATTTGTTTGTTCTTCGAATCAACAATTTGCTTGTCTAAACCAGTCGCCTTCCAGTATCCAGATGTAGTGACTCGATTGGATCGTTTTCCATTTGGGTATTTGATCTCCATGTTGCTATAGAAGTACCTTTCTTGCTTCGGATCACCTAAAACACACGAAAACAACCCATTATCATCTCACATTACATTTATTTGAAAGAATTATTTTGAATTTTCAGAAAGAAGAGTCACGGACCTGGTAAATCCCATGGATCAGACCTACAAACATCAGCTTCAGCAATGATGGGGGAAGCAACAGGGCGAGATTGGACCTTGCGTTTCAAGAAGTGCACCACAAGCTCTTCATCAGTGGGGAAGAACCTGAACCCAGGAGGTAATCGGAGGCCACCATTGTTGACGGAATTGAGCTTTTCCATTTCGCGATTTTGAAAAAGATAGTAGAAAAAGGGTGAAATCTTTTTGTTTTAAGGTTAGGGTTCTTGGATAGTTGAAAACTCCATTTGTTTTTAGTTTTTATTTAGAGATTTGGGGAACAAGAGAAAAGGTGTGTGGGGTGTAGGTATGTAAGAAGGAAAGTAAGGAGTCTTTATATAATAGTAAAGAGGATAGACGAAGAAGGACGAGTGTATTTTGCGTGAACCGGACTCAATCTCCTCTTCCCCTTTGACGCAATTTATTCCCTATCCACCGCTTGTTTTCTTGTCTTACAACTCATTATTTTTATGTTTGACAAATTTTATTGTAATATATTTTTTATATATATATTGTAATATAAATTTTAATAAGTCGATACAAAAGTGGTTGAAAAAGTTATAATAAATGTAAAAACAACAATATAATGAAATAAATAATTTATTATATTTATTGTTATTTTTTTTATTTTTTTATTGGAAAATTATTCATAGTTAATTAGTAATCACAATATTACTAATACTAATGAGAATGTTTACTAATACTAAATAATTTATTCCCTATCCACCGCTTGTTTTCTTGTCTTACAACTCATTATTTTTATGTTTGACAAATTTTATTGTAATATATTATATATATATATATTGTAATATAAATTTTAATAAGTCGATACAAAAGTGGTTGAAAAAGTTATAATAAATGTAAAAACAACAATATAATGAAATAAATAATTTATTATATTTATTGTTATTTTTTTTATTTTTTATTGGAAAATTATTCATAGTTAATTAGTAATCACAATATTACTAATACTAATGAGAATGTAAATTTATGCCGCTAAATTTTTTTGTATGATAAAATCATTTTTTTTAAAGACTACGTCCATAAATTTAAATGCCATAAATATTGTATGTTTGACAAATCTTATTACAATATATTTTATATAAATATTCTAACATAAATTTCAATACGTCATTAGGTCAACAAAAAAGTGGTTGAAAAAGTTATAATAAATGTAAAAACAACAACATAATTAAATAAACGAATTTTTATTTTTTATTGTTACGAATTTTTTCATTTTTGTATTGGAACATTATTTATATTTAATTAGTGATTACAATACAAGTGGTGAGAAGTCAAATGGACAACAAATTGTCACTAAACCTTTTTGTATGATAAAATTAATTCTTTTAAAAGCTACATCCAAAAATCTAAATGACATAAATATTGTGGGTTCGACAAATTTTATTACAATATATTTTATATATATTCTAATATAAATTTTAATAAGTGAGGACAAAAGTAGTTGAAAAAGTTATAATAAATGTAAAAACAACAATATAATGAAATAATGAATATATTACATTTTGTTACGTTTTTATTTTTTGTCTATTTTTTTATTGGATATTATTCATAGTTAATTAGTGATCACAATATAACGAGTGAGAAGAAAAGCATACAACAAGGTGCACCACTAAATCTTTTTATATGATAAAAACTAATTCTTTTGAAAAGTGCATCCATAAATCTAGAGAACATGATATTGTTATATTTAAAAAAGTGATAATAAATGTAAAAATAACAATATAGTGAACAAATGAATTTATTATATTTTATTGTTATGTTTGACCTATATTTTATATATTTTGAATTAAAAAAGATGTATTTTTTTTACAGAATACATATAAAACAATCATGATTTTTTTATAATACTTATAAATTAGTTAATTAATATTAACAAATATAATAAAATTAAATTAAAATCTCTATCTAAACATTAACAATACTAATTAATTACAATAATTTTATAATGAATAAATTAAGTGGACTAAAAACTTGTTTATATAAACTATTTTCTATAATTTTTAATAATAATATATAATATATTTATTATAGTAAAGTGTTGCTAGTCCGGTATTTGACGAAGATCTTTCTATCAATAGATAGGAATGAGTGTTCGATATAGGGGATAGAATCCATCTGCTCTTTCTCTCTCCATTTTTCTTCCCCTCTAACGCGGGTCGGACGCCGAAAGGTTGCATAGGGGCTCTCGGGAAGCTCTTTCCTTTATACCAGAAGGAAGATGGTCGAGGAGATCAGTAGCTAGAAAGCTCCTTTGGGAGAGCAAGGTAGCCAAAAGTCTATTAAAAGTACATCACTATTAAGTCGACTACAGTAGTACCATGAACATGTAACTACATCCCGGAACCAAGGAGAAGAATACTCTGTAGTAGCAGCAGCAGTGGCCGAGCATCAGTCATCAAGTGAATCAGTAGATGCCCGCGCACGTGAGCAACATGTTTTCCCAAAGAAGCTTTACTCCTCTGGGTGCTAGGCGCTTCCATGGTTCGCGAGAAGGAAAAAGGACTCATCCTTTGTTGCATCTGGCGCGAGATGATAAAGAGAGAGCTCAATTAGGGGTGGTAGGCACCTGTAAAGAAGATCACTTCTATTACTACACAAGTTGATAAGTCCGAACTCTAACAACTTCAAGGACTAGGAAGGCCCCTTTTTACTCACTCCATTGTTGATCGTGCTGGACTTCTTGATTCTAAGCTGGTTTCAACGCCCCTTGCGACCAACACCTCGTTTGTTGCTTCTGGGGTGCTATATGCGGATCCCACTCATTATTGGTCTCTTGTTGGGGCGCTTCAGTATTTGACCATCACTCGACCGGATATCTCCTATGCAGTTAATCAAGTCAGTCAGTTCTTGCAAGCTCCAACGGTTCTTCACTATCATGCCGTCAAACGTCTTATTCGATACGTCAAAGGCACTCTGTCCTTTGGACTCATATTTTCCAGGCCCAAGCTCACGAACCTGGTGGGGTATTCTGATGTTGATTGGGCCCGTTGCCTCGACACTCGTCGATCCACGTATGGGTACCCGATCTTCCTGGGGGGTAATCTTGTGTCTTGGAGCGCCAAAAAGCAACCGACGGTCTCTCGCTCCAGTTGTGAGTCTGAATATCGAGCCATGGCCAAAATTGTTGCCGAACTAATCTGGACCGCTCATTTGCTACGTGAGCTTCATGCCCTGCCAACTGGCCGTCCAACCATTATGTGTGATAACCAGAGTGCTCTGTTTCTCACTCAGAACCCAGTTTCTCATAAGCGCGCCAAGCATACTGATCTGGATTATCATTTTGTTCGCGAACTCGTTACATCGGGAAAACTCCTCACCATGTTTGTGCCGACCAAGCTTCAGGTTGCGGATATCTTCACGAAGAGTCCCCCTCGACACCAGTTCGAGCAATTTCGCCACATGCTCCGTATCGGACTTCCACCAGTTTCGCTTGAGGGGGGATATTAGCCTTATGTAAATTTTGTGTTCACTGTATAATCATTTATTATTTGAGGGGTTGTAAATGTAATTCTTTTCCTTATATATAGAGTTACTCGTGTCATTGTTGGCATTGAGTTTTACATTCACTCACAAGATGCGGTAGAGGTTATTGAATTCTATAATAATCAATTTAGTGTAACAATTATAATTTAATAGTCAATGTAAATAACATAATTCTTTTCAACATAATATATTTGTTAGAATTTTTATTACGTAGTTTGTGCAAGGTATGGATATTCGCACCGTCTATTATAATATAAGTAATTTTTTGTGTTTTGTCTTTATTTGAAACCCCAACAATTCTTTAATTTATTTTTTAATTATTAAATATCAAAATAATTTTCAAATAATAATTATTAATTGGTTCTATGACATAAGTGCAAAAATAAAATTGTTAGTATAAAAAAGATACTATTTTACTTATCTAGGAATAAGAGTCGTCATTTTAAATCGAAATACCAGCATCTGTCTAAACACGAATGATGTATAAAAAGAATGATGGGAACAAAGTCATGATTCCTCAAATCATATGAGTTAATGAATAGTTTTGACATTGCACAACAATCAATTTTAGTATAATAGGGTTATTAACATCATAACAACTTTATTTATGTTTTATACTTTTTCATTCACTTTCCTTTTAACGTTTGTACAACTATATAAGAACTTATAAAAATAATCGAGGTTTTGTTTTGTAGGAACATATGAGTAATTTAGTTATTGTTGATGTTGCGGATGAGTATATAACAATTTTTATGAGTCATGGTAATACGAATATCATGAAAATTAGTAGATTGGTGGAGGTAAGATCAGGATTATGCATATTTTCTTATTATATTTTTATTTTTCAAATACAATAATATAGTGTAATGGTAAATAATAACCATCCTTCCATTTATGTTTTTAAGTATATAATTGTATTAAAAATCCAGAATTAATATTAATCAGATAATTTATAATCGATAAAATATTAAATAAATTGATTGTTTGTTAAGTTAAAAACTTAAATGAGATTTTAAATTGTGATTTTCAATATTGTAAATAAAAGAAATACAAAATAAATTAAAATTTTGATTATAAATAATGAACAATGATAAGTTTGACATTCAAAAACCCGTTTTTGAGCAATCAAGTAACGAAGAAAAAATGTAATTGTTGACAAAGTTTTGGAGCACCGTTCTCATGAAATTTTGCGTTTTTATTTGAATTCACCATGTGTGTGTGTGTATATATATATATATATATATATATATATATATATATATATACACCCACAATTATTAAGTAATGCATACATAATAGTGAGAAATTGGATTTTAAGATCATAATCTTTAAAACAAGGAGATGAATTATTAATCATTAGATATAACTTGGATGACCTAGATTAATTTGGCTGTGATCCATGGGAATATGTTTAAACTAATCACAAACCAATATCTAAAATGTACCAATTACATAGCATTGTGCACGTTGCTAAACAAATTGTAGACTTACACGGATACGCTAAGGTCACTCCAATCATGGTCCTTCATTGGACACCACTTCCTCATATCTAAAAAATTCAAATTTTAAAAACCATATTTGTCTCTGGAAACCCTAGTCGTCACCACCAACACCTCCACCGCTACTACCTCTCATCCTCATCACCACCACAACTTATCATTTCTCTTTGTCTAAGCACACACATCATCATACCATAGCGAAGATCACTACCATACATACCTAAATCATACCACCTCTATCTATCTCTACATATGCATGCTCACACACCACCACCACTGTTTGTTGGAAGATCCGCTAATGATTTT